TCCTCGTTGGCGTCTCCACCACCTGAGTCAAGAAATTATCATCAATGCTTTGCAGGAACCTCTTTGACTGTTTGTGCCTAGCTGTGCTGTCTTGCCAACAGATGTCAGGGTGGTTGAAGTCTCCCATGAGAACCAGGGCCTGTGATCGTGAGGCTACTTCCAGCTGTCTGTAGAAGGTCTCATCGACCACTTCCTCCTGATCAGGTGGCCTGTAGTAAACCCCCACAACAGTGTCACCCACGTTACCCTGCCCTTTAATCCTTACTGATGTTCAACTGATGTTCTACCATCAGCTGAAGCTAGGGAAATGACTGACGTTAAAGAGACCTGGCAAAAAAAATTGTCACTTTTAACATATCTCAGTATCCTAATCTGATTTGCAATGCACCTGTGTAAACACTTTTGTGAGCAAAAAGCATGGGAGTCAAGGGAGAGACAGGAGGAAAGTTGGGCTACGGCTTTCAGTAGTAGCCACAGCTTCCGTCAGGTCAAACTGAGTGCAGCAAGCATGTAGCTTCCTCAGACTTCTGCTGTTCTGCTTTGTGGTGTATTTCCACGTGTGGTTGCTTTAGGGTTATGTTCATTTTTTGGTTGCATTTGCATTTTGTGTAAAGTTTGGAGCAAAAGAAGACCACCTGTGTAGAAGTGGGAAGAGACTGAAAGAGGGACAGGAAAAGTGCTTTAGATATGGTTTTGCAAGCTGTCCTGAGCAGTGCTGGCATCTAGAGACTGGTATTTGACAGTGGTACCATTGGAATAATGGCTATACTTCTCGCTTCCATTTACAGTCTGCTGAGCTTTATGTGAATTCTGAGGGTGTTTTTATATATATTGTATATGTACTTTTGTTGTATTGGGCTAAATTTCTTTTCTAGTTTCTAATGTTAAATGTTCTTGTCTCTCACCGGCAAAAGAGAAGAACTAGTAGTAGAGTAGTGGGCAAATTTCCAGTGCATGGTTGTAGTTTGGTGTAAGAAAGAGAAATGGAATAGCGCTCTTAAAATACAAATGAAATAGCACATTCTCTTGCCTGTCCTAGCCTTTTGATTTCCCAAGCATCATGCCTTTGACACGCACTCTTGGTGCTATGCAGTTGGATTAAGAAACCAGTACCATGGGTTTGGAAGGGAAATTTTGGATCACTGAATCTAGTCATCTGCTATTACGTTGTCACATCATATATACTATTTTATTTTTTCAGAGTGTTTCATTTCTGAAGTGAAAGAGTAGAACATGTAGATTCCTTATAAGCAGGTTACCTTCTGTGCTGTGCTCATAATAGAAAAGCTGAGACAGATTTATTAGTTGATTTGTGACTTCAGTGCCGATAGTATATGGCTCTCTTTCCATGGTAGAACGCAACATGTTGTTTTACCGGTTCAATATTTTGTTTTTAGAAGATTGCTAAATATGTCTTTTTAAATAATTCATTACTTAAGTCTTATTAATCTTCATTTGCATAATTATAGCAGTTCCACGTGTCAGCTCTTTCACTGATTTATCTTTCTTAAAAAATAAAAAATAAATAACTACTGCGCAAAGTCTTTTTGGGAGATAGGATTTAAAGTCAGAGTTCTGTCCGCTTTCAGGAGACACTGAGAATACAGTAGAGAGAAAATTTACAAATGATAGCTGATTTTACCTCACTATATGATCATCCTCCTGTATGACTAGCGTGTGCAGGTGGGTAAAATGTAAGAATCATAGCTTCCAGGATAAAGCCAAAAAGTGATCTTCAAGTGTTACGTTTGTTTTGTCATAGGCATAATAATGTTCAGTTTGCTTTGTGATCTGAAGTTATTCTCTTGTTTTTCTTATACATGTACCTAGCTGCATTGGATTGGAAACAGTTTAAGGTATCTTGCTACAGATCCAGAGGTGTGTGTTTGAGTCTTACCCTTGACTCTTGCAGAGCCAGCTGTGAATGAATACCTGGTTATTCAGTCCTGGGGCACCTGAGTCATCCAGATGTGAGGCCAGGAACATTGTTCTCTTCAGTGCTGTTGGCTACACAAACAGAACCTGAACAGATGAGTCATATAACACTGAAGACAGTTGTGTTTTTATTTATAAAGTAGCATACATCTAGTATACCCACCTTCTGTCACAAAGAGTATATTGTGTGGCAAGGAACCTTGCTTTTGCTACCAAATTGTAAAAGTCTGCAACAGTCTTGGTTAAATATACCATAGAGGCTTTTAATGGATTAAATATGGAATCGATTAGACCTGAGTTAGACATTACGTTTGCATGCACTATGAACAGAGATCCTCAAAGCCGCACTGACTGAGCTAGCTCTGATGCCTCCAGCTGAAGCACAGCGCTGGGCATGGTGTGTGATTCTGTGGCAACCCTGCTTTTGTGACCCGAGGTAGTCTCCCATTCTGGCTTTGTGGACTTGCACAGGCCCCAGTCCATGCTAGCTGCGCTGGTTTTACACAGCATAGCAGGGTATTGACAGTTCCATTGCTGTGCTGACTGCACTCTTCATTTGTGGTTTTCAAGTGTTGCTTTGCAGAGCAAAAGAGCTATAAACCTTCATTTGAATTTTGAAATGGGAGCTGTGTTTCGCAGCAGTGGGCAAACTGCACAGCATATTCAACATTGGTGGAGTATGGGAGAGCCAGGTCTAAAGACTTTTGATCTCTAAGGAGGTTATCAAACAGGTCTCCTTCTCAGCAAAACCTTTATAAAGAGTTGAGGAGTTTCCATGAATGACCCACACAATCTAGTGGCAGAAAAGGCCTTTAATAATAGGCCATCTAGTTCTAAGTGAAGCAAGGTTGTTTTTATCATATTGATTTTAGAGGTTTGTCCGCTCAGTGTTAAATATGCCAAAAGCTTAGATCTCTTTTTTTGAGTTAGTTCAGCTGAATTCTTCAGCTCTTTTACTTCTCGCTGTGGTCTTGTCAGGTCTTGTAAATGTGTTTGCTGCCACACCTTTTCTGCAGGTAGGCGGAAGACCCTGTCAGAATAAGGGCAGGATGAAAAGCCTCAAAGTACAGAGAGTACTTCAGGGAATGGTCTGATTTGGCAGATGGTGCTCATGTGCATATGCTAGTACTGAAAATAAGTCCCTAAACAGTGTCTGAGTTACTGAATCACTGAAGGTTCTGTGTCATGAAAAAATATGCCTCTAATCTCTTGTCGTCCTTGTAAGTGGAGGGATTAGCTATTATGCAGTAGCTAAATTCTGACTAGTCTATACACACACCTCCATCTAATTATTCTAATTACTGTACCCTTGCTCATTTCCTGAGCTATTGTTCTGTGCAATGTTTGACAGCTGGCAGGTTCCGCTCCAGAGACGGCTGCATTTGACCTTGGGGGAAAACTGTTTGTATTCTGATTACTACTTTTCCAAGAATGAGGGTAGTGTGACCTCCCTTTCTGCACATGGCAGTAAAGCCTCCCTTTCTTGCACCTAGACCTTGGGTGTCAGATGTAGTGTGATAGCTGACTCAGTTTGCTGTGTTTAATCCTGAAGTTGACTGCAATGCATACCAAACTCTTCCCACCTGTGACTTGCTTTTTTTGTTTGTTTATTTGTTTGTTTTTATTTCACTGCAGGCTGGAAGTCCAACCTCTATCTCTGCTCCTCATAGCTTCTCTCGGACTTCTGTTACGCCATCCAATCAGGACATCTGCAGGTATGTTTCCTTGTTGTTGTTGTTGTGTTGTTGTGTCCGTGGCTATGATGAAGCTTGTGCAAGGTTCAAGTTAAGAAAAAAAACAAAATTGAAAAAGCATGTGTACTGGGAAGTAAGCAATGCGGGGTTCTGATTAGAAACAACTCATTTGTTTGAGTTTACCGCTGTCTAACACTGCTTCGTTGAACCCCGCTCACTGTTTGGCCCACTATGTTTGCCATTTCCACACTAGCTGTAACTCTCATTTCTTCACTTTTAATTATATGTGTTCTCTTATGTAATTATTTTTTACTTTCTGTGCTTTTATTCCACTATTCTGCATGCAGTTCCAGTGCAGTGTTTTCTGAATGTTGTCATCACAGTCCAGTGCAGTCTGCTGTTGTCTTGAAAAATCCTCACTGCCAGAGCTCTCTGACACAAGGGGTCACTGTGACAGTAATCTCTCAGGACACGTTACATGCAGCAAAGAGAAACTCCCGTGGGCAGGACTGGGTCCAGGCACTCAGGCCTGCTAAGAATGTAAAGTCCACCCGCACTCTGAAATTCTCCAAGTCCCTCAATGACGTGGACCAGAAGGCACAGAGCACCAGTGAGTGCTTTGACTATGTGGAGCGAACATGCTCAGAAGGCAAATTGACCCCAACTCAAGAGCAGTGTTTAAGGATTAACAAATTCCATCTTAAAGAAAGGAAATCGCTGAATCTCAGGCCTCTTTCTTTTAGCAATTCTAAATACTCCTACATTCCTTCCCTTTCCAACTACTCGAATGCATCGGGAGGAGCAGAGAACCACAGCACTGTACATATCCCCTTGCTGGAGGACAAGGTGGACCATGACACCTCAAGAAGCAAAAAACTGTTGCGCTACCTTTTTTCCTTCTCCCACACTTCCAGCGCTAGCAGCCTGCATAAGTTCCTCGAACTGGAGAGCTATTCTAGTTACTTCCAAGCTGAGAAATCCTCCAGTGTGCTGGTGGAAAGCACAGACTTCTGCTCTGATGATATGGGAGATGATGACGTCTTTGAGGACAGCATCTCAGTGAAACTGAAAACAAAAGAGCAGCGGGCGCCACTCTGTTCAGTTGAGAAGGACAGTGACCTTGACTGTCCTTCCCCTCCCTCAGAAAAATTTCCCCCCCTCTCCCCTGTGTCTACATCGGGGGATACCTGCAGGTTGGTTTATTGGAGAACCACCTACCTTTTAGCCCTCCCATGTGTGGTGGTGACCATTCCACTTTCTCTGCCATTTGTGCTCTCTTTCTCTCTCTTTCCTTTTACCCTTTCACCTTGCTTTAATATGTGCAGTTTGAAGCTTGCAGCCTTCCCTCCTCTCTTTCCCGTACCTCTCTGATGCACTTAACAAGTCCACTAAGCAAAAGATTTTCCTTTAGAGTCAAATTCCATTGCAATTTGTTTCAGGTTTTGGATTCTGAAGTGGTATTTTTCTCTTATCAGTGCCTAAACTGGGAATGTAACAGGAGAATCAGCTGCACGTATTAAAGGCCAAGCTGAACTTTTCTTAGCTTTTAATGAGCGATGTGTTTTCCTGACAGTCATTGAAAGTGGTTGCTGGCTTGGGTTGAGGACTGGGGAGTGAGGAGGAAAAGAAGCTGTTTGAGTGCTGCCTCTGAGAGTCTAGTCAAAATAGTTTTGATTTTTAACCCTATTCTCACAGTTTGCATCTGTTTTGTTCATAAAGGGCTTTCTGGATGCCTTAGCTAAAAGGGAGATTTGAGTGTTGAGTGTTAGTGATTGGCTTGTGTGATGTTTGTAGCATGAGGTCCAAAAAGGTTGTGTGTCCTCCTTCCAGCCACAGAAGATGACTCGTGTCCAGAGGTGGTAGGAACAGGCAGCTCTGGACTGCCCTCAGGGTGAGTTGTTGGCAAAACTGCCCCATCCTAGCTCCAAAACGTGACTGAGGAGCCTGAGACACCAAGTACAGGAGGAATTACCACATCCCTCTACCTAGCATTATTCTATCCTAATCTTTTTTTCTCCCTGCCACCACTTTCTGAAGCTGGCTTTGTTACTGCCTGCCAATATTATTTTATTTCCTCCTGTTCCCAGCAGAATCTTGTTTCTTACTGGCTTGTCGTCGACAAGACGCTCTTGTAATCCGCCCACTCCTTCATTTCCACTTACCAGCTATCAGCAAGGTCGCAAGAGGCAAGATGCTACACGTCAATAAGGGAATTCAGTAATAGACAGAGATGGCAACATGCCAGGATATACTTCACACATCCTTAGTAAATTATTTTCATTCCTCAGCTCGTTACCATCCCCCTTTCAATTCATGATCTCTAGGGTTACCTCTTCACATGGTTAGAAGGACTTAAGTGTTTGATGCAGACAAAGTGTGTATAAACTGAAGCTGGAAATAGCACCACCTAGTAGTAGCACTATATCAGGTGTCCTCACTGTCTATCCATTTAGGCAGTGAGGGAAATGGGGAATTTTGCAGACCTGATGCTTTCTTGGCAGCTCTTGAAAAGTGAGAATTGGAGAGCAAAACAGTTCATTCACAATAGGTGTATTTTGGAAGTGCTCTAGCTTTGCAGTGTGGGTCTCTCTCTTAGCAATTGGCACTAGAAATAATCACTTTGCTTGTGCAAAATCCAGGCTGCCTAAACTCTTCATGATTCTAGGGTGGGCTGTTTCACAGTATGTTTGGGAATTTTGTTTTTGTCTTCTATTTTAAATCATAATCCACAAGTAGCTGTATATCTCTGTGCATGTTTTGTCTTGGGAAGTCTGATCTGTTTAAATGCTATTCTCAGTGAAATACTATTGTTCTAGTAGATGAAGAGTTGTCATTTCTTACCCTGTTTTTTCTTTTGGATAGAAACTTTCTGTCAGACTCTGTATGTCCACCTCATCAATTAGAGAGAAGCTGTCTAGTTAGCAGTGTCTGTGATCAATTATTTGGGGGGGGGGGGGGGGGTGTACGGGCATATAGCCTTTTAAGGAATACATTCCTTTGATGTGTATGTTTGAGGATCCTCAGTGGACAACCTTATGTGTGATCAGATATTACATGCCTTTTCCGTATCCTTTTTGCTTCCTCTACTCCTAATGAGCAGCTTTGTTTCTGATTCAGGATATGTCACTGTGAAGGAGATGATGAGAGCCCTTTGATTACCCCCTGTCACTGCACAGGAAGTCTTCATTTTGTGCACCAAGCCTGCTTGCAGCAATGGATCAAGAGCTCAGATACACGTTGCTGTGAACTTTGCAAGTATGAGTTCATCATGGAGACAAAACTGAAGCCTTTGCGAAAGGTAGGCACATGGAGAGCTTCCCAAAGGAATTGCTTTGTTAAAACACAGCTCTCCTCTGAAACCGGCTGACCCTATCTGTGGTCCCATGGAACCCACGTATTTATCTTGTTTCTGTCACACGCTAGTAAGTCTAGTCAGTTTTGTATATGTATAAAAGAAAACTATTTAACCCTCCGCCTCACAAATTCAATATCAATTGAATCCAGCTCTGAGAGTTAAATAAGAGTTTCCCTGCTCTCAGCCTTTGTAATGACGATTCTGCTTCCAGAATTCAATGTGGGAATCCTGTTGTACTGCCCAAGCCAGAAATGAATCCCAGTCCTTTTTCTCTGGCCTGCCAGCTAACAGCAGAAAAAACAGTCAAGGCTTATCATAGTCCAGCAGCTCTTTGTGTAAATATACGTATAAATGCACACACATATGCACACAGCAGCTTTATTGTTTCTTTGCAGTTCACCACCTTTCAGAGCTGATGCATTTGTACTTTTTTTTTTTGAAACATGGAGTTTTGCAGTTCTGTTATCTCCTTGAGCTTGCTGTACTGAGATCCACATGCCTATTAAATTCTCTTGAAAATACAAGGACTTCAGGTTTAGCTTCTTTTAAATCTCACTTTACAAATATGATTCAGTTTAAAAAAAAAAAAAAAAAAGGCTACAGATTTTAAGAAGCAAATCTCTTTTAGCCAAAATATTCAGTGCAAGTAAGGAAGATTCACGTGTAAATACATTTTCATTTTTATCTTTTCATGGATTGTATATGACTAGGTTTTAGTACTCTAGATTGCTGGAAACACTGTTTTTGTTCTATACAAAATAATACAATTCATAACTCTGGTGACTTAAAATATGGGTACTTAAATGCTACTTTTATTGTAAGACCAGTTTTTGCTTGCATGCTTTTTGTTCTCGCACATCGCCCCGGCTTTCAAATTTGGTTGGTATTTGCCATCAGGATTTTGAGATGGAAACTACTGATATTCCTAGCGTGGACAAATCTTGCCATATCTAACAAAATGAAAAAGGTTAATAGCCATAACCTCAGTCTGGAACTAGAATAAATAGGAAAGATTAAATTCAAGTATGATGATCTTAAATCATGTAGCGTGGGAAGTCCAAACTGCAGCCCTCCGAAAGCTGCTATGGGAGCTTGTCAGATTCTTAAAAGTGACTCCTAATAGAAAATAGAGCAGATTTCAAACACCTCTACTTTTTAGAGATGTGCAGTCTACCAAACATACAGTTTAGTGTGTTAGGTTGATGGGAAGACCGCTACTCATGACTGCGGTGAATCATTGCCTTCTGAGAACTGTAGCTTTTTCCTTGATACCTGCTTCGCACAGAGCATACTAGCTCTGACCTGCAACATTGGCTCTGTCCACAGAGGTAGCACTTTGCACAACCCCGCCATAAGGCATTAAAGAAAAGAGAGTGCTTGCTCTGCCTGGAGCTAGTGGGCCACTTGTGAGAAAAAGCTAGTGGGCACTTTCGGAAGCGAGTCACTCAACATCATTAGTTATTTTTGAACAGGTCATCTGTGGGAAAGAGACCAGATGCCAGCAGATAGGGACAGAGCCATAAACAGAAGGAGAAGAAATTTAACTCTCAAATACATCTAAGGAGTCTTCCAGAGGCTTAGCTGAAGTCAGAAGACAAGGTGGCACAGTATCTTTAACTCATCCTTTGTGATATCTTGTCAGTCAGGAGAAAATAGTCTGGAGTTGGTGATTATGAAAAGGATGAGACAAGTAATAGGGCTTGTGCTTCTCTGTAGGGTGGAAATGGAGTTAAACTTCCCCAGAATCTTAAGGCTGTGTTCAAACACTCGGTTGCTAAGGGAAGAGACTGAGGAACAGTGTTACAATTCAAGTAAATATGAGGGGAGTCAATAGAGGGATGCTTCCTTTCTAACTTTCAACAGCAAAAGAAAACATTAAACCAGAATTTTCTGCTGGATTTTTTTGTTTTAGCAACACTTAAAAAAAAGAAAACAAAAAACAAACAGAAATGCTGACTCTTTTGACTGGGAAATGCTGGTTGCTGTGTCATCAGAATTGTACAGCAGGGACCTAAACATTCCAGTTTCCTCTTTGGGCTACTGTGTAGGTTGCAGAATATCTTTAGCTCTGCACTCATGTCGCTTGAAGAGATGAGGTGATGTGGCATGGTTTGGTGCCTGGGATGCCAGCAGTTCATGGGAGATAGTTTAGCAAAAGAGCAGAAGCTGTGGAGCAGAAAAGAGAAACACAAATTAGTCTTAAGTACAAGTTCTCGTGGTGCTATAAGAGCATTCACAAATAGATTTCACACACTTGGATTCTGACTAAATAAATAAATAAGTTTATACTTACTGTAGAAAGTGAACACCTTTGTTTACATGTAAAATCACTTCTCTGTTTAGAACACAACATCCAAAGGAAATGTTTTGACCCCTCCTTTTCAAAGAAGATTGAAAGAATATAGCTTTCTAGCACAGCATGGATCTAACATATCATTGCTGAAAGTCCTGTGCCATGATGAAATCTGGTTGCCCGCAGGTCTAGAGATCTGACTTGGACTGGCCAAAGAGATCCCCTTTCCGCAAGACAGCAAGGCTCACAGTGTCTCCGTTCTGTGGTTCAGCCAGCCTTCTTGTATTTGTAGCAGTGGAATAATTCAACATCATGGGTCGTCTCAGTCATACTGCTGAGGTCATCCTCCCTCTTTTCCACATTCTTACTCCTTTTTGAAGACTTCTTCTTTTCTCCAGATTGTCCCAGGAGACATCAAATGCACCTCTCTAGGCACACACAGATGTGGATGAGAAGCTTATGTGCCCCACTGTGTACATTGTGACAGTGTGAGAAAGGCCCATCTTAACTCTATATATTCCAGGCAGACATACTGAGTGATGTGTAAACCACCCCCAAAAGCCTTCATCGTTTACATAGAGAAATCACCTTAAAAAGCTTCCAGAGGTTCTGATTTTTGTGCTGTTTTTGTGCAATTGCTTGGAAAGTGTAAGTATCTGTAAAGATTGTCTGATTTCTTTGTATCCTTCCTAAAAGGCAGTGACCTAATTTTGTGGTTTCTGTTGGAGCTGTATAAACGTTATTGATGGATGTAAATTTGGGAATTGAACTTGCCGCATTCTCTCACTTACAAAAGCTGTCATCTCAGTTCTGCTGCCTGTTCTTGGGGCACATGGTTCTGTGTTCTAGTGCCCTTGAAACACTGAAAATAAAACATGGGTGTCACTGCTGTAAGTAGCATTAAATACATGTGAAGATTGAATTCAAAACCTCCAGAGGCAAAAATGTGCATTGCTGAGAGGTAAACAAGCTTGACTGTGCATTGAGGATCTCTAACAGAGCTCAGTGTGTGATGTCTTGCACACACTGGCCAATTGGATCATGTATGACTTTTATTGCAGGGTGTTTCATTGAACGCTTGTCTGAGCAAGGGTACGCTTTTGCCATTCAAAATACTCAACTGTGACTGGGGGTACCCACTGTTCAGTGACAAATGCACTAAGGAGCAGCCGTGTTTGGGTTGTACAAGGCTTAGCGTTATGATTTCCTGGGCTGGAGTGAGTCCGCAAGAGTATGCGGTGTGTGACAACACGGCACTGAGGCTGCAGGTGAGAGCTGAGCCCTAAAGTGCCCCTGCTGCTCCAGGAGCACTCCCATCGCAGCAGGGTGAGCTGCCAGCTGTCGTCAGACGCCTGCTGCGGTCAGAGCAATTATATTTTGTGTGTTTTTTAAAAATCTGTGTTAAGAGGAAACCAGTCGCCTGCCTGTTCTGTGTTCTTACCAGCATTCTCTTTTGGTATTCCTTAGTAACCAGAATAAACATCTAATTTCTTGCTCTGCTTCTGGATTTCTTGCCAGTGGGAGAAGCTGCAGATGACAGCCAGCGAGAGGAGGAAGATCATGTGCTCTGTGACGTTCCATATCATTGCCATCACCTGCGTTGTGTGGTCTCTGTATGTCCTGATAGACAGAACTGCTGAGGAGATAAAACAGGGACAGACTACTGGTATGTTACTTGATTATCTTCCCACTCCTTCTCTTGGAATAATTATTTGTCCTGAACTCGGAGAGAGCGCAGGTAATGTTTTTGCTCATGAGCCAGCAGTGTGCCCTTGTGGCCAAGAAGGCCAATGGTCTCCTGGGGTGCATTAGGCAAAGTGTTGCCAGCAGGTCGAGGGAGGTGATCCTGCCCCTCTATTCAGCCCTGGTGAGGTCTCACCTGGAGTACTGTGTCCAGTGCTGGGCTCCCCAGTACAAGAGAGACATGGCACTCCAGGAGAGAGTCCAGCGGAGGGCTACCAAGATGATTAGAGGGCTGGAGCACCTCTCCTCTGAAGAAAGACTGCAAGAGCTGGGCCTGTTGAGCCTGGAGAAGAGAAGATTGAGAGGCGATCTCATCAACGTGTACAAGTATCTGAAGGGGGAGTGTCAAGAGGATGAGGCCAGCCTCTTCTTTGTGGTGCCCAGCGACAGGACAAGAGGCAATGGGCAGAAACTGAACCACAGGAAGTTCCATCTGAACCTGAGAAAAAACTTCTTCACTGTGAGGGTGACAGAGCATTGGAACAGGTTGCCCAGAGAGGTGGTGGAGTCTCCTTCCCTGGAGATATCCAAAACCCGTCTGGATGTGATCCTGGGCAATATGCTCTAGGTGACCCTGCTTGAGCAGGGAGGTTGGACTAGATGATCTCCAGAGGTCCCTTCCAACCTAAACGATTCTGTGATTCTGTGCTTAGCCTGAGGTTGGACTGATTTAAAAGCGCAATTCTAAAATGATTTTGTTAGATCGGTGCAAATTTGTTTGTGGGTGCTCTTAAGTCTATTTCATGTCAATTTAGTTCACGCCAGAAGTGCATAGATATGAGAGCTAATCCACTGTAGCCAGGCACAAAATTGCTCTGGCTTAGCTAATTTAGTTTAAAGTTGGAATAGTTCCTAAGTGGATAAGGATGTAAGCATGTGTTTACTGCTTTGACTGCCTTTAGGTGGGCAAAAACAGAACAATTTAAATAGAAGAATTAAAAGAAGCACTTGAATCCGAATCTTTGAGGTAAATCAACAAGATTATTCTTTCTATTCAGTCATGTCTGAGATGGGCTAGCACAAATTTCCTGTAAGACATGTTAGATGGGAAAAATGTTAACGAGCATTGATGCATGAAGCAGAAGAAATTCAGGTTGATGCTTAAGACTGTTCATGCACTGAGGTGGCTTACAGTGGAATTCATGCAGTGGCTGCCACCCCACTGCTGGGATGTTTAACTTCTCAGACAGCAGCTCTTTTTCTTTAATATACCAGTTGTAAACTTACCAAATTGCTTACCTTGGTGTGCTGAGCTGCAAGTGTGCAGCTGTTGCAGAACTCTGTCACAGGCAGCTGAGCTGTCCGTGACCGTGGGGATGGGAAAGGACAGGGTATAATAACCAAGGCTGGGAGCCATTAAAACTCTTTTGAGGCAAGGTGTGAAAATTGTTGGCCTTTCAATGAAAGGTTGCCGTACGATAAGGAAAAGCATATTCTTACAAAGATTTATGGCCTCCAGGTTATTTTAGTCAGTAAATATTTTAGAAGGACACGAACAGTAATAGGATGAGTATTTGGTACTTGTTAACATGCTTTCTTTGCTCCCTTCATTTGGATTGTAAATAGGGAGTATGCTAGCGAGCTCGGGGGTAGAGGGAGTGTGTATGTACACGCTCATGTCTGCACAGGGGCAAGCATATGCTGTTGCTGCTTACAGATGGGATCAGGTATGCTCATCTATGAGTCAGCAGTTCTGTGGTATTAATCACTGGTAGGATTTCATCAGTCATCATGTCACAATTCTCTTTTTATTTTGGAAGTGTTTTCATTCCTCCCATGCTACTATGTGTTTCCAAGAGACCAGTGGCATGTATCTCAGTAAAAACTTTGAGGACTTGAGAGGCCATAATTTTGTTATGCTACTGGTGTTTCTGTTCAGCATGAAGAGTGGGTGGTTTCGTATACATCTAGTGATGTTCCTGGCCTTTTCAGTAGGAGAGAGACCGGATGGATACAGGACCTAAGTAAGCAAAAAGGGTATAAAATGAATAGTCACTGATTTAAACGTAGCTGATAGAGATGTGACAAGAGCCAATGTCTAAAAGGTCAAGCTAGACAAGTTCAAACGAAAGTACTGGTGCTCATTTTTAATACCAAGGGTAAGCTTGCCAGAATGCTTCAAGGTCTCCAACGCTTGCAGTTTTCACATCCAAAGAGATGCTCTAGTTCAACTACAAGTTATTGGATCTGATGCAAATAAAATTCTCTGACATAAAGAACATGTTAAGCTCGATGATAACAGTGGTTGCCTTTGACTTTAAAGTCTGTGACTCCATGTACTGTGTGATCACTGAGTGGAACAGACTTCTTGGATCACTGAGTTGAGTGTCCTGCTATCAAGAGAAACTGTGTCATAAAATCCCTTTCATAATTTGATCGAATTTTCTTTTAAAACCACGTGTAAAAGAACCTAAAGTTATTGCTGACTTTTGTCTTGACTCTGCTTGGAGTTGTGCTGTGCAGATGTGGAGGAACAATTGTTTTGTTTTTCCTCTAGTAGGTGCAAATAGATGTAATATATGGACTTGACAGGCGTAGAAATGTGCATGTGTTTGACTGGAAGGGGGAAAAAAGCAAAACAAGAAAAATAGCAAAATAAGAATAGTTTGTGTGGCCTGAACTCTGTGACCCTTTTCTTAGAGGATGTTTTTGAGAGATCCACTGTAGTCTAGCCAATACTGACCTGGTCTTTTTTCTTTTTTTTTTTTTCTTTCTTTTTCTTCCAGGGATTCTAGAATGGCCATTTTGGACTAAGCTGGTGGTTGTGGCTATTGGTTTCACTGGAGGACTTCTGTTCATGTATGTACAATGCAAAGTGTACGTACAGCTATGGAAGAGACTTAAAGCTTATAACCGAGTAATATATCATTTTGGACTAAGCTGGTGGTTGTGGCTATTGGTTTCACTGGAGGACTTCTGTTCATGTATGTACAATGCAAAGTGTACGTACAGCTATGGAAGAGACTTAAAGCTTATAACCGAGTAATATATGTACAAAACTGTCCAGAAACTAGCAAAAAGAATATTTTTGAAAAACCTGCACTAATGGAGCCAAACTTCGAAAGTAAAGAAATGCTTGGGGTTCACCATTCAGATACAAACTCTTCACATTACACAGAGCCAGAAGACTGTGCTGCAGAAATCCTTCACGTCTGATTGCTGGGTGGGAGGGGTGTTTCTGTATGTCCTTGAGGATTTAAAATATTGTTTACTGAAAACTTCTCTACCTTTTTAAAATCAGCTAACAGCTGAGGGCTGTCAGATGAATTTTTTACATTTGTGTTTTGTTGGAATTTTTTTAAATCCCCTTGGCATATCTGTCAGTATGTTATCATGGTTGCACACCTCTCAACATTTTGTCTCTTGGACTCGCCGATCAAAGAGCCACAGGATCCTAGGTAGTATGAGCCTTGGTTTTGGTATCAAGCAAGCCACTGGTGAACTGTTATCAACTCTATGGAGTCTGTTACTTTAGAAGATGACTCGAAATGAATCTGGAATGTGTGTTGTGTTTTTTGTTTTTTTCTTTAGCACAATGAAGGAGGTTGCCCCAGACCCCAAGGGAAATGAGAGACCTAGAATCTAACCTACCGCTGACACTGCCACTAACATTTTGTCTTAGGCAGCAGGTGTAAAATTATGCTTTACATATTGTGGCAAGACTCACAAAGCATATAGCACTTTTAAAAATTTTTATTTTGTAATATGTATGTCCATTGAGAATGAAACTTGAAAGAATGTGTAATTTTCAAAACATTTCTTCATTCTTTCCGCATCCATTCTACCAGAACATAAACCTCTTGCCTTATTTAAAAAAAAAAAAAAATTAAAAAGAATTCCCTCATGTGATTTCCAACACATGCCCACGTTATCTTACTAAGCATAACACTAAAAAAATCTGCCTCCTTGAATTTCCTTTGAGGAGCAATTTTTTCAAAGGATATTGCACTTGTGACTTGTATATGGAGAGTAGTGGATGTGTACAGTGTTTGTTTTCAATGCATAATGGTTTCAGTGCTCTGTTGTGGGGACTGGTTTTGCTTTTTTTTAAAAGGTCTACTATACCATCAATGGACCTGAACATATATACCTGATGTAACTTTAATTCCAAACCAATGGCAAAGGGTTTGATGCTACATTGGTAAAAATGTGAGCTGTTATGGTAAAAAAAAACTTTATTAGTCAATACAGCTGAAACTGGTTTCCCTTCTTTAATGCTGTGTCATGTGTGAATTACCCAGGAATTTGTCATTGTGAGATAAGATGTTGAGAACAGAGTCTAGGAAGTAACTATTGCATTAAGTAGATGAGTTAAAATGACCTGCCTGTTTTCAGTCCTTATGGTGGTGCATTATGTGGTCAGAGAATAATGTAATCTGTTGTTTTGAATTTGGAGCTGACTTTTTAAACTCTCTGTGCTAATGAGAGAAGGGACAGTTAAAATCATTTTGAAGAGCTTTAGACAGAGTTGCCTGAAGACTGAGGTGTCTATTGGTACTCACTTAACTGGTGTGCTTTACTGAACAACTGTCTGGGTTCAAGCCCTCGTTTAAACAGTATCTGCTGTCAGTGTGACTGGAACAGAAGCGAAGCCCCAGATGCAGAGCCTCTGCCTATGAAAGCTTGCTTTCTCCACTTGAGCCCTGTCTGACAGAAAACAAAGTCAATGGTAATCTATTCGGTAATCTATTCGGTCTTGGTAGGAGTTGCCTGGACATCTCAGTTAGTTAAAAGCTTTTTTTACTTTTTGAGAGGCTGAGCTAAATCTCAAGGTCCAGTTCAGGTTTTACTTGGTCCTTTTTCAAATAGAACCTTCATTGAGCAAGACATTTATATAATAAAAACTGTTGCTTTAACTTCTCCCCAAGAACAGCAAGAGGTCAGTGAATTTTCCTTAAAATGTGATAATAATTTATTTCTAGGTTAATCTTTGTTTTAAAAATTGGCAGGTTTCTTAAATGGCAGAGAGGGGGCTATGCTAAGAGAACGCACACCAGTGTTTTCTAAGAGCCGTTACAGGAAAAGCGTGTCTGTGTGTATGTGCGAGATCTCATGCTTGAAGCTTACTGGCTGTGATCTTCATGAACAACATGGTACCTTGTTCTTGAGATGTTTGGGGGGAAAAAAAAAAACAGACCTCTCTACAATCCTAGCAAAGCTGCAGTGACTTGGGCTTGTGTGCTGTGCTAGGTGCCAGGATGCCCCATGTGTATGTGATGTAAGCAGGCAAACCCTGCCTACCCTGCTAGTATCTGGCAGCAGTCTTCATGACCATATGCATGTAGAGAGTGTTGTCTATGCCAGCCATATTTCAAAGTGCAATTACTGGGGTCCTTCCCTGAACTCTGCTGTAATTGATCCTATTCTATTATTAGAACCCAGATAATAATACAGTCTTTGTTTTGATTGCTTTGTTCTGTGAAAAGATTCACTGGATGAACTCAGGTGGGTTAAATATCAGGTCTTACACGCCTTCATCATGTTCTTTTTAAATGCCATATGTGCAACGCTTATGCATCTGCAAGATGCTCGTGTTAAACCTGCAAGATGTAGAGAAGCAGCTGCTGACTGATGCTGTGTGAATTCTCATCTGATCTCTGGCCAGTAGGTGAAAGGAAAATGACAAATTCTGATATAAAACCTGTTTGTTCTTCAGTTCACGTGAGAGGTGCTGGTGTCTGACTGGTGTTCTGAGAAGTGCTGATATGGCATATTGTTACATGCTGTCCTATTTCAATCACTGTCATCAGTGATTCTCGGTGAAACATTGTGAAATCTTGCTTGGCGTTTTGGAAGGTCTGTGTGGCATATGCTAGTTAGTGTTCAGCACGTTCAGGGTACTGATGGCTTTTGCTGTGCCCTTGTCTATCTTGGGAAGGAAAATCATCTCCAGTAAAACTGGCTGGGGAAAAAAACAGCCAGATGAAACTATTTCAGTCGGTGCTGCCATTAACCATTTCCTTTCCCTGGTACATCTTTTCTGAATGAAAATAAGACCTAATATTTCAACTCTTTATATCTGTTGGAACTGCTTATAGCAGTAAGGGCTGCAGAACAGATCTCTCTGTTGGGTGCTGTCACTGATTTTTGCTTATGCTGGTGACACTTGTCATGTTGCTTCATGTTTGGTGTTAACAGAGGGCTTCTGGAACTGCAGTTTTCTACTTTTGCATGGTGCCATCAAATGACGTAAAAAGGCTAAATGGTGCTTTTTCCTTCTTTCTCCTGAAGGAGAATCTGTTGACCTGTTTTCAGCTTCTTGCTGCAAGGCATTGATGCTAGCTCAGGTGAGCTCCCTCCTTCCCGCCTGGCCATCAGCACCAGCAGTGACCATTCCTCACCAGACCACCCATTCCCAACCCTTCTCCTGGCAGCTTTTCAAGCGACTGGAGTAGAAGTCTGACCTGTTTTGGCCATGGTTCTGTGGCCAAAGTCAGTCACGTTCCCCAGGACTTCTCGGAGACCAGAATTTAAGTAGGAAGGAATATAGGCTTAATATCGTTTACCCCGACCCTTTCCCTAGATTGTCAGAGCCTTTCCTGATTTACCCCGACCCTTTCCCTAGATTGTCAGAGCCTTTACTGATTTGCCCATAGATGTAAATGCTCTCGGCAGCTGACCAAACTTCCCTTCTGTTGTCATAGCAAAGTCGTGTCCAAAAATGCAGAGGCTGTGCCAAGGAAATTTTCTACCGGAAAGTATATCGGTATATCTGCTGGAGCATGAATGTGCATTATGTTAGAAGTACGGGCAAGTGCTGCAAAAGGTTGATCTGCTTTAAGAGATCATGAGATAATAAATTCCTATGACATCTCAGGATTTTCTTCAACTGTAACCTTGTGTTTGGGGGGTCTGAAGTGTTACTCTGTGCTCTGAAGAGGTCATCCAGACCTGGAGATAGCTTCCCATGGTTGAATGGCTTTCAGGTTAGCTTTGCTGCAGCATGGGGATTCAGCAAAGGTTACACAGAGCCTGCCAGGGTTGGAGAAGCGCTGGGACTCTGCTGCAGCAGGAGAAATCCTGGGAAAGAATAGTAACTGCGTTTCCAACCCTCCTACAGCTAATGCTGCTGTATGGATCAGGCCGTCAATGCTGCTTGTCCTCCTGCTGTCAGGAAGGGGATGGGCTCCCTGTGCTGCCCTTGGGAAACCCTCGCAGTGAGCAGGAAGTGTGGATGTGGCCACACCTGGGAGCTGAGTTTCTATTGCCCTGTGCTCGGATGGATAAACATCTGTTTCAAAGTGGGAGCCAGGTCTGCAGTTACCTCAGAGCTGAGGAGCATTACGTATTTCTGGCGTAATCTGCTGTGGCCGGCGATGGAAGGGAGATCTGTCATTCTGTGTTGGGCCCCTCTCAAATATGGGTGAAACAGGGCAAATACAAACACAAAGACATTGCTGGCTGGATTTTCACAGAATTATCCTAGTTATGCAAAGAATACTTCTAAACAGGACCTTTTATTTTGTGGTTATTTTTTAGTTTTGAGATATTGAGGTGTCTGTATATTCCAATGAAGTACTGAAAGCACTTGTCTTTGTATAGGAGATAACTGTTTAAAAAATGCAGCTCATCTTGTATTTAGGTAAAACATTTGTAGATAGGTGATTGTGTAATGTTAATCAACTCTGCCCTGGCATGTGGTATATAGTTTATACAAGACACTTCACACTTCTACAGAATTTTTTAGCTAGTAAATTTCTAGTGACTTAAATGTATAGTTTTGTATCCTTTCATGTATGTTCATTTCTCAGTATTGCCACTTGCAGAATAATTTTTAGTTTCTTAAACTGTAATTGGTTATTTGTGTGTGATACACAGGGTTATTGACTGCAGCAATAAAGTGTTTCTATAAAAAAACAAAGCAAAACAAAACTGGCATAGTATCCGTTTTGTTTCCAAAAAATGTTAGAGGCCTAGTCTAGAGAACTGTTGAGCTCTACAGTAGTAAAATGATCAAACAGTGAGTGAGTTTTGCTGGAGAAAATAGAGGACTCCGTGGCTTTTCAGTGCGGCAGGTCAACGCGCTGTAAGGTCCAGTGGCAATTTGATGTTAAAGTGACTCATAATCCTAAAGAGATAGTTAACCGTCAGAGTAAGTGGGTTACTCCTTCACTGCAGTGACTTTGTTCAGGTGCTTTGGGGTCAGATGCAGGAATCCTGTGAAGAATTTTCTGGCTTGTGTCATGCAGGAGAAAGGATTGTAGTGGGGTCTTAAAATCTATTGAGCTTCTTAAATGGAAACTGAGTGTTGTTCTGAATGTTTCACATCTGAAGCCAGAATTTTCACGTGCGCTGGTTTCTATGTGGAGCAGAAGATGCTCATTACCATAATTCTCTTCCAAGAAGTAAAATAAGTTTGTGTAAGCGTGCAGTCATAGGCACCTGCGTTTTGCCCTCATTGCTGATGGCATGAGCGCGGTTGTAGTTGTGTTGGCTTTCATGCCATGACCCAGCCTCAGAACTGGGAAGTCTTCAGCTGTTTTTTGTGGATAGATTTCTAGCACACGGAGGTCAAGGAAAGCAGATATCTGCCCAGCTGTGTGAAATAACAAGGCCACAAGCGCTAAAAAACAAATAAGACCTGGAAGCATTGTCTGTAGTGGACACATGGGGGCATAAGAAAACATTTTTTCTTTGTGTTGTTTTTATGTGTGTGTATATATATGTGTGTGTGTGTGTGTGTGTGTGTATTTTATTTATATATATATTTATAAGGAGTGATTAGTTTTGAATTTTATTTTAGCTAGGAAAAGGGAGAGAGCCTTAGTACTGCAACCCTAGAGAGGTGTTTCCCATGATGAACAAAAGGCACTCTCCTATATTCCTTAGTGAAGTAAGTCTGGTTGTAGTAAATCACACTACTTGTATAATACAGAATCCACCAGCAAGGCCATTAAACAAAAATACTTTGCTAGAGAGATGCTAAGACAGTTTCCAGAGCCTGCTGTTTGGTTGACAGTGTCTGGGATAAAGAGCTGGTAGACAGCTTAAGGAAAAGAGCCTGTAGAGCCATCTGGCCTCTGGGTAAACGTGCTCCTCATCTTGGGTTCAGGCATCCCAAGTGAATTATAAAGCAACTTCTTTCCTCCTGCAAATTTTGTTTCCTCCTGTGCGAAGCGTATCCAGCTCTGAGGTGGAGCAGAGCAATGCTCAACAGCATATGGCACGGCAAGGTGACTCCAGGAAAAGGCTGAACTTTACAGTTGATCCTGAGGAACTGGAGCATGTGGTGAGTACACTTCTGTCATTTGACTAGCCAGACCAGCATGACTTGCCTCTCAGATTGAAACAGAGAGAGGGTATCAGAAGGCAGAAGAGCAGCAGCTGAGGCTGGTAAAATCCACCTGAGTGCTCTCTGGAGGCTACAGAGGGGTCAAACATTGCAACTCTAGCTGCTGACACCTCAGCTCCTCTGAAAACGAACCTCCAAGAGCCTCTGAGAGACAGGCTTCTGCTGCTAACCTGCTCCAGTGGGAACCATTGCAGAGAGGCCTGAGGGAAGAGGGGATGATAAAGTGAAAAAAGTGAGGTTCATAGAAATCCCCCAGTGGAGGCAGACCAGCTCTCTGCAAGGGCTTTGTCAGGAAAACAGCTGTGGTGGTGGCTGCTCTGGCCAGGCGCTTGTGTCTCACAGCACATAAAGCAGGAGGTAGATGTGCTATGTTGAGCAAAACAGCAGACTGGCTTTTGCTGAGGCTGGTAACGCCAAGATGTGGGCTGGGAGACTGAGCTGCCCCAGGGATGAAGCCTGCTGCAGGCATGGGCGTTTCAAGACTACGTCTAGCCAGTAGCACTAGGAGGACCATGCGTTGCTGCTCAATGCATCCTACAGGGACTGTGCATCCTCATCCAATCCTCTTCCCCGCAGCCACCCTGTGGACCATTGCGCTGTCATCTACCCCCCTCTATTTCAGACTTCCTTAGCTCTAGCCCGTTCATCCATATCACAATGTGTTTTCCCCTTTCCATTCATTTTGCTTGTGCAACCCCAATTTTCTTCCTTGGGTTTCCCCACTTCCTCTGTCACCACCATCGCTATTTCTCAGTCACTCAGCTTGCCTCTGGGCAAGGCTGAGTAGAGAGAACATAGGAGGCTTGTGCTAGAAAGAACCAAATTACATCAGCACGTGATGCAAGATGGCTGTGGAAGTGCCCAGAACGGATGCTGTGAAACTGAAGCACAATGTCCACCTGCCATCCCAGTTTTTCCTGTAAATCCTCTGGGCTCTGTTCTCTATGTAGGATACTTTCTGACCTGTTGGGATTGATGGGGTGCAATGTTATCACAATGCAGACAGTCCGAGGAGGATGCTCTTTTACAGCCTTAGGATGGGTTGCCTCAGACAATCAAGCAAGAATATCTCATTATAGAACAAGAACCAAACACAGGAAAAATCCATTCATCCTGGCCGAACAGAGAGAGGGGAACGTCATTCAGAAGGGAGGCTTCTAAAAAGATTTGTAGAGCCCTGGGGAAAGGAAGCAGGGAGCAAGTTCAATGCATTACCCAAGCTAGAATAATTGGAAATGTGGTATTGCACAGAAAGGGTCAAGCGATGGCGAACTCTAAGAATACTCTTTTCAAGTGTATTCAAGGGGAAAAGGCAAGGTTGATGGCAGAGGAATTGGGAGCTGAAGACAAGGAGGAGACCTTGCTTTGAGTATGATAAGAAGCTGAATGAAGTTGTCTCAAAGGCTTTAACATCAGCGAAGGATTTGAAATAACTACGCATAAAACAACCGGGAAGCTTCACAGAACAGAGGAAGACCACCACCACTCAGGATGTGCTGGTTAAATCTCCACACTTCAAGGGAGCAGACTTGCAATCCTTAACATTTCAAGACTGCACTAAAATCAACCTCCCAGTCATTTTTGCTAGGAGCCCCTTGCTGTGTTGAGTGGCTCTGATATTTTCCTTTCTTCCTCAAAGGCCACCTACAAACAAGGCAGACCAAGTGGATCTGGGAGTAATTGGTCACCATTAGAGCTACAGGATAAAGGGGAGCTGAAGATACAAAGCCTCAGACCTGCAGCTGTAAATGGTGTTTCTTTCCACTAATTTGATGCTCGTAGTGGTCCACAGTGTTTTTCAAAAGCAAAGAAATAAGTTGGCCCTGGATTCGGTCCCTGGCCTCAGGGCCAAGAGTGTTTGTGAGCAGATGCTTTGGATAGGGGCCGTGCAGAGACTCATGGCACAGCCAGGTTGCTTGGGTGTGGAAAAGGGTCTGGGGGCTGATGGGACAGCAGGTTCCTTTGTCAAGGTAAACAGTTATTGTTGTGGTTTGGGGAGAATGAGAAATATCTTGGGCTGCAGGCTGGTTCCCCGCTGAGAAAGCACAGCTATCTGAGGCAGTTTATGTAGTATTCCATATCTGCTTTTCACCTGAGTATCCCCAAATAACACACAAAGCACCACTGTCTCCTTCTTGCAGGTCTCTCTAGAGTCACTAGTCTTGCTCTCTAACTTCTTTCTCTTGAAAATACCATGTTAAAGGAAGACATTTTTTCCAGCTCCACAGAGCCATATCTCATGTTGTGCTAAATGGGATGAGGTATCCCAGAAATACCGCTTCAAAAAATAATCCCTTGGAACCTGGCTGATCCCTTGCACAGAAGGTTTAATGATGTCGTGATAAGTGATTATATTGCAACTCTGTTTGGGGTTTGAGAGAGATTTGTCTGGTGTCTGCTTTGTCACAGCCTGCATGGCCCAACAAGGACCCTCTGTGCTGAGCTTTGCAGTCCTAGAGTTAATTTCTGGACCCTCTGAACTGGGACAGAGGCAGGCCTACAAACAAGGAACTTACTCTTGCAGGTCCGGTGGAGCAATACACAATTAGCATCCATATGTTCTCATGTATTAATCCTAGTTCCTTAGATTATTTTATGTGCCTTGGAAATTTCTGTAGGCTCTACTGATCCCCTCCATCATGTGTTAATTAGCATGTTGTATCATTCCTCCCCACTCCTAATCTTTTATTAGCATACTTCAAGAGAGCCATCTGCCCATCCAAATTAGCTGTAGCCTCAGGAGGGCTGTAAGGTATATGTGACATCTTCACAGAACAACCTTGTTTTTCACTGGCATGACAAAGGGATAAAGAGCAGCTGACTTCTGCTGTGAAATTACACGTGGTGAATCTGAGTGTTACTTAGGAGAGTGGGACCTGTGAATAACAAGCAGAGAGATTCAGGGCAGGGTAGATATGCCCTTTGTAGAGGACTGTTTTAACCCCTCTGCTGACATGGCCAGCTCGGGAATAGCAGCATCTCTTGCTTTACGGGCCCAGTTCCTAGCTCCATGCTTGTGAGTGCTAAGATCTGGCTGCTGCCTTGTTAAACCACTTTCAAGTGAAAAGTGAGGTGTGTGAGACAGACAGGATCAGGCGTGATGGTCCTATTGCCACGGGGCATCGTTCCTCACTGCCAAGGTAAGTGGCTTGGGGAGAAGTAAGCCGGGGCTCCTTGCTTGTGTCGGATCTGTGACTAGGAGGGACTGTCCAGTTTTGCAGGCAGTTTCTAGAGACCCAGCACCATGTTTCAGCAACTGTGCAGATGCAGGCATCTCCCTCCGCGTGTGACACGCTGACTTCACGTTACTTGGTGTTTTCAATAGGATCAAGAGCACCACGGTGCGGGAGCCAGGTGACCAGACGCATGCAGCGCGTCTGATTCTCGGGGCGAATAAAAAACCTGCTCTGCCTCTCCGCCTCTTAAATACTGGGTTAGGCTTTGGTGTAGCAGGAATTTTGGATCTACTTGAAGCCCTGAGGGGTTGGGGGGTCCTTGGGTCTGTCCTTTGCTGGTTGAAAGTTCTCGTAACCAGATGAGTT